ATCATATAATCCAAAGTACGTTGTATTTGTGTTAATTTGTATTTCAAGGATTGATAACTTATTGAAGATCATGTGACCATAACTAATGACAATAAAAGTGGAGAACGTTATCGGCAACATTTTCAATGTTCAATTGACGTGTTCATCTCAGCGCTTTAGGCTATATCTTCATTTGTTAATCGATTGAGTGTTGTGTATATTAAAGTACAATTAGTACTAGAAAATTAACTTTAGGTCCTAACTTTCCACTATTTGTGCTTTTAACCTAGAATAATACTTACTTACGCCTGTTACTCTAAATGAAACATAGGCCGCTGACCAGCATCCTTCAGCCCACTCTGTCCTGGGCCTTCCTTCCTAGTTTTAAACTGGGATAATGGTTTAGGCTAAATTGAAATATTTAGAACAGGCAGCTAGGAAAAATATCAGATGCTTGAAATGAAGACTCAAACAAAAATTACATTATAATATACAACAATCACGTATTGAATCAATAGAATAATGATTGAAAGTGTTGAATTATCAAATTCATTAAATATTGAAATCACTTAGCACTATTATACAGAGCTCAAAAAACAAAGACCACTTATAAAATCCATCTACATATTTGAATATTTCATTTAGAATAGTGCATTTACTTCATGTAAACAAAGGAAGAAGGAGTGAATGTACACAAAAGTACACAATTTAAATTCTAAAGATTATTCTTCAATAAAGTTTCTAATAACGATTTCGTTTTGGAAAGATAAGAGAAGTATCAGTACGATAAAACATCATGAAGACTTCAAGAGTATTAAATAACTTGTTTACTGAGCAATTACCTTAACAATTATGTACACATCTATATGAGATTAAATTTACATTAAAACAGACTAACATTATTACTACTAACACTACCTAGTTTGATATAAAAGCAGAGGGAAAAATCAATCACACATGAAGAAATACAGATAGGGACAATTTATTTATTTATTTCAACACATAAATATTGGTACTAAGAGGCATCGAATAAATATGAGCCACACAAGTCACTTGGTTTGTGTGTGGACTATGATACTGCTGGGTTTCCCTAACCGAAACAGGTGGTCTACTTAGGGGGTCACACCCGGAGCCCTCGACCTAGAAGTCTGATCCACAAAGCAGTGGAGCAACGTAAGGAGATGCAGTCTCATGGTAGCCGGTGATCAACAATTGGTTCATACTCCATTTATTCCTTCAGGATAGTGGAGCGAATGTGCATGATTGCTTTGGAATAAGAGTTTTCTAACTCCCCTAGGTGGACGGTCCATGTCCACCAACCCGGTTAAGGCACCGGACATTCGCTTTTCACCATCTCAATTTCGTAGACAATACTAATGCCACGAGAATGCAGTGAGTAGGACTTCCCTGGCAGTGGCTGTATGCACGTGGCCATGTGAAAACATTTCGAGATTGAGAGCAGACTTTCCCACTCTCGGCCGTACCAGGGCATTTTGGAGCAAGTAATTTGTTTTGTTCTGTTTTATGACCTTTCAAAAGTGTGCATACATAACCTAACACACAAGAACCGTAATTCAGAATCTTTTAGTCTTACAGAGAGGCAGAGAGAGAGAGTTCATTAACTTGGCATTACAATGTTAAATTATTAATGAATCAAATTCATACGTGTTTGTATATTAATAAAACAGATTGATAAGTTAATTAAACAATTTCATTTGACATTTTACGCTTTCATGTCACTTTAAAAAATAACTAAAGAAAAACAAAATCAGCCTATTAATTGTATGAATTAGAAGCTAATCATAACGCTATAATGAACTGAATAAGACAATTATTGTAAATCTATAAACACTGGGTATTTGTTTTATTATACTTCAGAATTCCTTAGAACTTCCTCTTCATAACTCTTCTAGGGATCAAACTCAGAATCATCATTCCTTACGTCAAGCATTTATCTTTCAGACTATTGATCTAGCATCCGATGGTATCTAACATCGACCAGTTTATGAGATTTCCCAACTATTATCCATTATCATTGATGAAATTTGTCTTACCTTCAATATAATTGAAATAGTATGGTCACGGTTTTATGCTAAACTCCGGGGATTTCTTTTCGGACTTAAACACTAAAAAACAAACGATGGATTCTTTTTATGAAGTGATTTGCTTTGACAATTTCATTTTCCTATTTTAATGACGAGGAGCAACTTTAATTGATGTCCATGTGTCAAACTCCACTTTGCGTATAACTGACTAATGAAGGGTTGCTAAATTTTGTAGTTACAATTATCAACCAACGGTTGAAAACTCAGAGGATTAAATTTTAAGCACCAGTGTACACCGTTGAAAAGATCCATTCATGGATTGAACAGATATCCGGTGTATTGTAGTTTCCAATGGTTGTCTAACTAAGATCAATGTAAAACTAAAAAAATCCAACAATCTCCACAATCCACTATTTTAATAATTTTTGTAATCATCTAACCGTATCATATTTGAAAACCAAATACTATGGAACACTGATTTATTATCAGACGATGTCTTATCACTAAGCTCTCTATATCATCTAGATACGAATCAACAATAACATGATAATTTCATATACTGATTAAGTACAGATTTATGAAATCGGCCTTGAGCTACACTATTCTTCCTTAGAGACAGTAATACTCCACTATTATATAAACTGACATAGATAAAGTGTACTTTCAACTTGAGTTTTAATGATTGAAAGTCATATAGTTTTCCTACTAATTATTCACAACAAAATTGAAGTAATTAGTATTTAGAACAGTAAAGGAATCATATGATTTTTACGCTGCAATTTACTGACAAATATGCAAGATTTATCGGATCAGTTTAAAAATCCCCATAGAATATTCAAAAATGAAGAATATTTGAGCGAACGATTGTTTTCAATAACTTCATCATCAGGCTCTACAGTTATAAATTATGGACTGATAACTGTAGAGTCTGATGATGAAGTTATTGAAAACCATTGTTCGCTCAAATATTCTTCATTTGTTTTATCATGAAAATAGATTAGTTACATTCAGAATGAGTTGTTACTTGATTTATAAACAGAGTAAGTGATTGGGTTATTCAATAGTGTATAATAAGTAATTAAATAAAATAAGACAACATTATGATTAGTCTGTTAATCTAAGAAATCGGTGGTAGTGATAATACAGTAAGTGTTAGTCAGCTATCAACCGATTATAAACAATGTAATATCAGGCACTAATGTACAAAGAAGGAAAATCCTATATTTCACAAACGTTCATCAAAATGAAAGACAAATGAGTTAAAATATTCACATCAATTGTAGTGATATATTAAAAGAAGGGAGATAGAGTTAAAAAAGGAAGGACAGATGGAAGAATAATCAAACATAAATTTATAAGAAACCTCTAGCAAATTGTTCCATCCAATATCAACTTTTAGGTTTCTGATAAATTCACAGTCAGTCATTTAGTCAGACATAAGCAACATAAGACATGGAATATATACACATCAGTTTAAGTTGCTAAACCATATCATTACAGAAAAACGAAACTATCGAAATAGACATCTGCAGAACGACCGTGAGTTAGCCAATTAGATGAAAGATAGAGGCTATTGCATTTCAGCGTGGAATTGTAAGACGCATAAAAAGACAACAAACAAGGCATGACAGAAGAGTTAGAACAAACATAAACGATCTGCAGAATGACGATAAGAAATTCATTAAATTTCAAAGGAAAAGAATGATAAACGGTACTTCGAACTTTTTAACGGTAGCCCGTAAGTTCTTGGAATAACATGAAATTCGTTAGAAAAACCAAACAGATATTACCTCATGTGTATTTGAGTGAAATCCACCTACACACACATGGCTATGAAGCAAGAATGGTTTATAGCCTCAGTCTTTGCATGAACGTTTACGTCAGTCTAGCTTAGTCGTAATTCCAAACCCTAAAACTCAAAGCTATCTCATTACCGCAACTCATAACCCCAACCCCTGATCATAAGCCTCTTACCTTCAGTGTGAGAAATAACTCACATGATAAAATTCATTATACAAATCAAAACTCCTTACACTTTGTAAGTTTATCTTTTCTAAATCAAAAATTGCCCTAAACCAACAAACTTTTACTGACTGGCGAGTACGGTACTCAAAGTTATATGAAATTTATAAGGTCCTCCACACAGTTTACTTATACTTAGATGTCAGAGAAGTAGAAGTAATAACAGTTATTAGTTGTTGTAGAAAACAACAGGAATAAACAATATAATTTCAGAAGAGTGAATGTTCGTGGAATAGAAAGAAAAAGAATAACTGCATTTGCACGTTTGCAACCTATTTTCAGCCATAACAGTCATGGTCGTCCACCATCGGTCACGATAATCGTAAGGACCCTGTTCAGGTAGATTTCACTGAACAATAAAACCTAATTCAACAGTCAATCACTTTGTGAACTGATAACATGTTTCGGTTAGGTAGACCTAAGGTTTCTTCCATCCTACTCCTACACCAGAAAATATCGTAAGTCGAGTTAGGCAATAACTACACAGTCTTAAACTGATAATAAGGTACCACCCGAAATGTTTCACAGTGTAATTGTTAATGACGCGTTATGAATGGTTGAAATCACGTTTTAGTATGTCTGCCTTTAGCATTCTCTCGAATGAAGTATATTTTCGTCTCAATTTGATGTTCTAACTACACTTTTTTTCCTGAAGTATAAAGTTGTGAGATAGTAACTTATTGATGACAATAGTGGATATGTCGCTCAATTCCGTGGATTAGTTGATGGTAGACATTAACACCGTTTGATGCCGCCCTGCTCGGTGGTCTAGAGGTTAAGCGCTCAGGTTTTCCATGGTGATCTAGGTTCAGTTGACTCATGATCTCAACTACTGAAGTATAAAGTGTTAAGAAGAATAAAATATAATTTAATGATAAAACGAACATAACTCTTCATTGAAGAAAGACACTTTAATTAGCAATAGAGAATAAGAACACGAATTAGGTTACTTACTAGATACGCAAGTCGATGAATTAGAACGATCTAATTGTTGTAAGCTTGAAGAAAGACCCGATGTAGAACCTGTAGAAGCGACTAAAGCGACTAATGCAGCAGGTGATAGGCCAGTTTGATTACCCAATTCAATTAATTTATTTACACTTGCAGAAGAAACAACGCCAGTACTGCCAGCTGAAGATGATGATGATGCCGATGTACTATTACTCAAGGCATTCAATATGGCTAACGATGAAGCGTTGTTATCATTATCGGAATTGCCGTCAGCATTACCACCACCACCACCACCATCGCGAGATAGTGAAGATTCAGCATCAAGCCCTGTCGTCGCTGCTGCTGCAGCTGCCGCCGCTGCTGCTGCTGATGAGGAAAGTAGAGCGGCAGCAGCAGCAGCAGCGATAGATAAGGCACTTGTATCACCATTTGTTGCTTGACATAATAACATCCAACGTTCATTCTCTTCGGGATGAGCATTTTCGTAATGTCGTCGAAGTGAACGTGAATCACTATAGGATTTATCACAGAAATGACACGCATGTGGTTTACGACTTTCATGTGTATACTTATGACCATTTCTAAAAGAGAAAAAAGATCAACTCAAACGAGATAATGAACGGATAGATAAATAATTAGGTAGAAAAACTAGAAGATAAAAAGTAGGTAGCTGGTGAAACTATTAATGAATGTACTTGTTAGTAATAGTAATTAATTCACTAAACTTTGTCAAAACATTCTTATACAGATAATCCTTCCATCGTCTGACTTTCGAAGTATCTGTGCTCTATCAATGATTAAGGACGTTCGGTGAAATCATTAAGAATTAGTTAAGATGATGCACATGGATTTATTCTGTCTTGAATATGTGTTTAAAGTGTTGAAAAAAACACTGTAGTGTCGGTTACTGTGTTAAGTTCACAAAACTTATTCTAGCTTCTGGACAAACCAGTTTATCCATTATTCTGAAATCACATTTTGACCTTGGCAATTTTTAGCCTATCAACTTTGACTGTTTTTATATGAGCGTATATGCGTACATTGATTTTCATACTCATCACATGTCTGTAACTTATTTTCGTCTGACTATAAATAAAGATTCACGCTTGGTTAAGTTGAGTCGGCTCACACGCCCTCTCCACTGAGCGTCATTTTACTTCGCTCTCTTTTCACTTCGTTTCTTAGATCATTTGTGTCGATTAACAATTGTACGAAATATGCGTATTCAAAAAATCATCCTCGTATCTGACTTATTTGTTTGCGTTATTCACCAACACAAGTTAAGTCGAAAGCTTTATACGAGGATTGACGACATGTACATTTCAATAGCGACCAATGTACGATCCAAATGGATTCAGATCTCAGGCCACTAAAACGCTACAATTTGGTGAGTAATTACTATGAGTCGATTTAAAATGTTTATGTAACCATCCATTTCAGTAAGCGTACAGATATTCACAGAACTGAAATGATTCAGAAGATTCCCCACTCAAATAGATGCTTTATTCAGTGTTGTGTTCTTTGAACTAGTTGTAGTAGACACTAATGCTGTAGTTTTGAAATACGACGAAAAGAGTTAACAACATCAAAAATAACAAACATTTTAATTTTAAGATTTTAGTTCCTCTAAGAAATCACAATGACATTTTCTAATTTGAGTTTTATTAAACTTAATCTGCTACTCAGTTGTAATATCTATTACTCTATGTTGTCCTATCAAATAAGCACGTAGAGAACAAAACAAGTCAAAATAATACCAGTACTAATGATGATGAGAAAGATTGAACACTAGACACTACTTGTTCAAAAAGCAGAGACAAATTAGAAGAATAAAAGAATATGGAATGATATTGAAGCTCAAGATCTATAAAGGGATCTACGCTACAACAATCATATCACCCAAAGACTCAACAAACACCGATCGTAGTTATCGCAAGAACCCTAATCAGGTTAGTTTGCGCCTACCTATACGTCATAATTCAACCTCACTCGCCTATTTATCTCTTCCGAAATTTTTAGCTTTACTATTCTCCTGGGATTGTATACAAAAGAGTTGAGTTCGGACAGATAATAAATTATGTTTAATTTAACATTTCACTTAATTAGTAGTATTTTAAATGAAACCTTAATGTCAAGTCTATCATAATTTATCATATTGAAATTATAATCTATCAAACCCCCTCCATACACTCCTATAATATATCTTAACATATAATGTAGTTGAACATCCGGATGATGGTTAAAAACGAGGAGAAAGAAAACAGTCAAGTGAAGACAAAGAGAATCGACAGAAAAAAAAACAACTGAATAAGGTCAACATAATAAAAGTACATTGTTTTATAGTGAAAGATAAAGACAACAAGCCATGAATCACCAATTAACAAATAATAAAGATCAAAATTAATAATATTTATATAAATACACATACAAAATGGTAGTCATAAAACGAGTACATAATGGAACTACAGAAAAATGTGAATTAATGTAAGTTGATAAGTGAAGATGAAGGAATCATTTAGTTTTACATGGCTAAAGTTATTCCATATTGTGTGTGTAGTACAGACCAATATACTAGATGAAAACTTATTCCTTGGTATTATATACAGCATTTATTCAATAAATGAACGAAATTACTGAGTGCTATACAGTTATTGAACAGTAAGAATGTTGTAGATAGTCTTAACGGCTTATGTGACGAGTAGACTTTATATAGAAAAACATTAAGAATGGAAACATTTACAGAAGTGAATAGAAAACACAATTTCGACAAAGATCAAATCGAAGGACCTTTAGATTTGATGAAAGAGAATACTTCTATTTCAGATCATGGATCAGCATTCATTGGTTCGTATTGGAGGACAAAATAAGTGATACTAATCAACATATGCTCACTAGTGACTGGCTTCAAGAGGTATATCCTGGAGTTCAAGAGAGAAGTAGTGACTAGTGGAGTTCAACTGGGTCTGTTGTGAGATAGTAACTCAGTGATGACAATGGTGGATGTGTCACCAATTTCGTGGATTAGTTGATGTTAGACATTAACACCGTTGGATGACGCCTCAGTGGTCTAGTTGGTGAGGCTCCTAGCGCGAGACTGATAGCTCTTGGGTTCGAATGCCGCGAGACGGGGTCGTGGGTGTGCACTGCTGAGGAGTCCCACAGTAGGACGAAACGGCCGTCCAGTGGTTCCATGTTTCCCATGGTGGTGGTTAGCTTCAATTGACTCATGATCTCAACTGTCGAGAGAATTAAAACGTTTTATATTGATTGGAATAATCAATAATTTATTTTGATAGACTGTTTTCTATTCTTTACAAAACTTGAAATTATTAGTTGGAAGAGATCAGATGGCAGAATAGTTAAAGGTACTTCTACTATCCAGTAGTAATCAGTTTATAAGAAACATCGGATCTGCCAAATACTTGCATAGATCCACTTTAACAGACAGTTAAGTCAAATTATCAAGATAAATGTATTAAAATGATACAAGAGAGAGACACATGAATTCATATTATTTTGATAAGGTAATTGTCCTTGTTCCATCCTGATTATAAGTTAACGTAATAGATTTTGAGTTTGATTTCTGTTAAATCAAGTCCAAGAATACTTCTCAAACTGAAATCAAGCCAGTGGGTTTTTAATCTACGAACCAGTATTTAGTAATAGAATTCTATAAAAAGTGGAACACAAAAAAATCTCAAAAAACTAACTTATCTTTCCCTAACATGAATTACTCGAGTCGTAGGCGAGATGTCACTTTGTCAAACAAAGAGTGAGTATGCTGAGTAACACTTCACTTCGTATTACTCCATGGCTATGAAACAGACTAGCAAAATAGAAGATATAGGTTTCTGATGACAGGTATATTTGAAGCATTGTTTGTAAATAATGAAACTATCAGCTGAGCAGCTTTGAAGTTTGCCACAGGTTACTACGCGAAGGCGGTTAATTGGTTAATGAGGCTGTGAATAGCTATTACATATTGCTTACCTCCACGTGCTACTCCGAATAGTGTATGAGTACATTGGAGGAAGACTGTAATCAACACTTCAGAATGCCGGATAATATGGCTAAGGATCTATCATAATCGTACAGATCCATTAACTTGTTACTTTAATCTACATCTTCTATGTCAGTATTACATCATATATACATTTTCATTTGGTCTTTTCAAACCAAACCCTCAATTCTTAATCTTTTTGATTAACTATATTATTTCGATTGTTTGGTTATTTATATACGTAATTTCATTTGGTTGTAATGATGTAATACAGTAATCTATGTGTATGTTTCTTATAACTGATTAATTGGATCAAATTCTGTTTCAAATAGTCAACCAGTCATCGATGCTTTGCTAATTCAAATCATTAGGCACTAGCTATTGTGGTTACGGTAGTTGAGTACTATCACTATGCTTCAACTAAAAAGTATATAAATCAGTACTCATTTAAATCATACTGATATTTATTGATTGTTGAGCTTACTGAGAAAAAAATGGAATATTGAATGACCAATAAACTTATATGTATTAGATTAATTATTAAGTATACACAACATACACAAATATACATACAACATATAGAGGTTTGAATTGGTAACCAATTCGTTACTATGTAATTAGTTTTATCTACATACTTCAAAAATGGCCACATATGTAGAGACAACATTCATATTTACGAATGATAATATAATATATATTCAATAGTTAAAATCTAATCACTTTGTAACAATCATTCTATCACTTTGTGTTTATCTCAATGATACAACCAACACTGTTATATCCTGATGAGTATAATGAATGGTAACTTTTGGGAATCATTTATAGACCAATACTATACGTATATTTTTATTGTATAATTATTAAGTAACTCAACCATTCATATTCGTGTCCCTCTTATTATGAGCTCCATTTTGACCTATAGACTAGTATAATACAATTTACTATTCTTGATTATTCCCAGTCTATCAATTACTTATTCACAGCCACATTTGGTTAAATCTTGTAGAAATGTTGTTTCCTATTTTATTGTTACGATGTGGTCTGTCTGGTTGGTATATAAACCCAGTATGCTTGAAATAAATGATTCGTATGGCGGAGGTTGAGATTTGTATTCTGGAGTCAACAGGCAGAGTAAGGTGGGAAGCAGGATTGCTAAGGACTCTAGACTGCTCGTACAGGTTTTATGCAACATTGGTCCAGTTGATAATTCACTGTTCTCTAATTGGCGGTATCATTACGTCATACATTGATAGGGGCACAAATCCACAAGTTAAAACAAACACATGCACTCATATACAATTCCAAACTTATACATATCTGTACTTTCTATGATCAAACTAAACATTATTAATATTTTTTTTTCTAAATGCAATACAAATGGCACTTTTGTTTAAAACAACGACATAAAAGAAGGTCAATATATGGACTGTTATCTTTACTCTACTGATATAAACGGTCCTACATTCTTATTTATCTAATACATTCCTTAAATATTTAAAGAATAATACATTTCTGATAGTTGATTTTGAGTAAATTTGCTAGATTTATGTTAAATTTATCATTTTAGTATCTATCTTAGTA